GGAATTGCATATCTTTCTCACATCAAGCGGGTGTTAGATTTGAACCGTTTGATTTGGTTTGGTGACACAACTCCTTACCACTATGCCATAAGATCTCCCAATATAAAACAATCAATAGTATAAAGTCTAAATATTTACTAACATGAAAACTGATCTGTTATGCCCAATGAATCAAGAGACATACACCGCAGGATTACAGGTGAGGTCCTTTTATTAGCTGCGCAAGGGGGATCCCAGCAACAAGGACTGTTTTAACAGTCTGCTTTTGAAACACTTCAAAAGCACAGAGATACATGGACAGCATTTTACTGTTGAAACATTTCAAGGGTACATGGAGTGCAAAACATCTATAGACAATAGTAGTTACTGTTTTGGGAAGTAGTTCAAGACAAAACCTGAAGACTTGGGGTAAAATTTTTCCACACAGGGGTTATAAAATAGTCTGTTTGGTTTTGCAGATCCACTCTGGGGGAGTAAATTCTGACTCCTAATAACCTTCCAGACTTTCCACTGGTTTTCAAGGCTGTAAATCTTTACCAGAGGAAACTTCTCACCTTCCCCTTCAGAGTGCCTCATAGATGGGAACCTTTTAACTAGGAGCCCAACATATGATGCACCACACCACTAGGGCTCCTAAAAATGTGGATAATGGAATGCTATATAACAATAAGAAAAAGCATAAAGCAATGTTTATAGTATGCTTTCATGTTTTATAAAGGAAAATATTATGTGTTTGATTAAAAATGTATATGACATTTCTAACAGCATAGAACTGGTACAATGGCAGGTGCATAGACCAATGGAACAGAATCGAGAACCCAGAAATTGCCCCAGCTATGGTCAACTTATATTTGACAAGAAAATAAAATCTATCAAATGTGGAAATGATAACTTCCTCAACAAATGGTGCTGTCAAAATTGTACTTCCACCTGCAGAAAGCTGAAACAGGATCCACATCTAACACCATGCACAAAAATCAACTCAAGGTGGATCAGAGCACACCCATGTTTATTGCAGCTTTGTTCACAATAGCAAGGAGTTGGAAACAACCTAAGTGCCCATCAACAAACAAATGGCTAGAGAAGCTGTGGTATATTCGCACAATGGAATACTATGCTGCATTAAAAAACAAGGAACTCATGCAATATTATTCAAAATGGTTGACTCTGGAGAACATTATGCTGAGTGAAATATCCCAGTCACAAAAGGACAAATATTACATGATGCCACTGTTGTAGAATGGGACTGTCCTTGGGGTTGGGGAGAGACTGAGTAAGATGGGTTCAATAATGTATACTGCACTGAAACAGAGGAGGGAGAAAACTGTTTAAAAGAGATATATAACTAGGTATTTCTGTCATCACAGGAGACTAGAGCGAGGGCTACATGGTGGAGGGGACCTGGGGGAGGGTTTGTAAAACAATGAAAGAATCTTTTCTTTTACTTTTCCATAATTTTTGGACTCATGTACTTATAACTTGTTAGTCAAATTTGTGCCTTCTAGGTTGCAACACCCCATGATACATCTTCAAGGATATGAACATGTACGGCCAAGCACAATCAATAAGAGTGCATCTAAATTCCAAAATCAATCTCCATAATAGTCTATGTGTTTCCTACTGCCAAAGGGGCCCTTTAGAGTAGTGAGAGAAGATCTTCACCCTGAAACCCACAGCGTCCCTTTTCAGCAGGAAGTAGCTAAGAGAATACGCCATCCCCTTTTCCTTATGACTCAGGGTGAAGTCTCTCTCAGGGAGGAGTGATAGGGAATGGCAAAGGACACACTGACAAAGAAGATTAATCAGAACTGGCTTTGACAAGCACTGTGGCATTTGGACAAGAACAAACTGGGAGGAGGGTAGAGAGAATAGTGCAACAATGAATGAATGGAAACCCAAAATCTCTGTAAATGTTTATGAAAATTAATAAAATATAGAAAGAAAAAAAAAAGGTGGATCAGAGACCTGGGAGTAAAGCCCAAAGCCATAATGTTCATAAAAGACAGACTGAGATTAAGCTTAGAAGCTCTAGTCCAAGGTATAAAGGGACTGCCAAATACAACCAAAATTACACAATCTAAAGAGTATAAAATTGATGCATGGGACCTTCTAAAGGTTACATCTCTGTGCACATCAAAACCTTTTTCCAACAGGATGGGGGGAAAAAAACCCAACCCTACAGACTGGGAACAAACATTTGGTAATATCATCTCAGACAAGAGTCTTATAACAAAAGTTTACAGAATACTCATGGGCCTCCACTAGAAGAAGACTGGTAACCTGGTTACAAAATGGGCAAAAGACATGGAAAGAATTTTCACAGAGGAAGATATTTGAATGGTCAACAGACACATGAAGAAATACTCCAAATCACTGTCAGTAAAAGAGATGCAAATCAAAACCACACTGAGGTACCATCTCACTCTAGTAACAGTAGTAAAGTTTAACAGGGCAGCAAGTAATAGATGTTGGAGAGTATGTGGTGAGAAAGGAACTTTTCTACATTGTTGGTGGGATTGTAAAATGCTGCAGACATTCTGGAAGGCAGTTTGGCACTTCATCAAAAAGCTGAACATAGAAACTCCATATGACTCAGTTATTCCACTACTTGGACTATATCCTGAGAATACAAGATCTGAGGCACAAACTGAGATTTGTACACCAATGTTCATAGCAGCATTATTCATCATTGCAAGAACATGGAAACTGCCCATATATCTAACCACAAATGAAAGGATTGAGAAATTATGGTACATTCACACAATGGAATACTATGTAGCTCACAGGAACAATAACTTGATAAATTATTACCTAACTTGGGAGGGACTGGAGAACATTATGCTGAGTGAACTAACTCAGTCCCACAAGGATAGATATTGTATAAGACCATTATCCAGGAGGGGTGGGAGAGGCTGGAAGCAGGGTGATGTGATGTACAGGGGGAGAAGGGGATTAATTATTGGGTTGTACAATTTGATGGGGGTGAGGGAAATTTAAATAATTTGTTAGAATTTGTATTGGAATTTTGTAAATAAAGTAGTGGGGAAAAAATTAAAGAAACCAAGAAAATAAAACCAAGAAACACAAAGTGAGTGGGGGCAAAAACAACACCAAAAAACAATAATAAAAAAATGATAAAAACCCAAGTGCACATCTGTAAAATGCAATAAAGTGGAACTATGCAGATGAAAAAAATATATATAGAATAAACGCATAAATACTTGCATATGTAAAATCTACTTCACTCATTTTTAAATGAGCTTAGCTCTATTTTAATCCAGTCAATAAATTGAATTTTCTTTAAATGATATCTAAAATCCAGTTGTATAATATTGTATTTTATCTTCTTTGATAAAATTTAAGCTGAATAGCTATTAGAATAGAACAAATTATACTATTATACTTCCTAATACTGAACAATTTGCATTTGTGAAATAGGCTACATTTATCACTCTCTGTTCTTGCTTTATAATGTATTTCTTGCTAGATTATATCTACAAATATTTTTAAACAAAATTAAGGACATTTTATTGATAAAAGCAAAAAAAATGTATATGATGTTTCTGGATAAGATTCATTGTGTGAGACTATATTATTTGATGTTCTTCTAAATTTATCTCCTTAAATATCTCTTTGCATTAATTATAATCTTTTAAAGGCTAGGATAGTTTGGAGGATTTTCTCTACTCTTTTTTTTTTTAAACTTCCCCTCCATGTTCATTTATAAAGTCATATAGGAAGACTCAGCAAAGAAGACTGAGGAGGATGGAGGAGTGGGGATTGACTTCAGGAAAATGCAAAGGACAAAGTACACTGAGTGAGAAAAAAGGGACACAAGATCAGATGTTTACATAGTTCATAAAAATTGGGGTTTTTTTTCTAAAAGCATATATTGTGATCATCTTTCTGAATACAAAACAAATACAATTTCTTTTTAGACTATTGGGAAAATAAAGAAGGCATGAAAAAAACCCACATGGAAAAATGGTGTTTAACTTTGTCAATATCTGGATAAACTACTTTCTAGTCTTATGTGATACATGAATTTTTTTTTTACCTTATGACACATACAATAGGATTTTACCATACCAGAAAAGTGAAACACGATGTATACAAATTTTGTAAGCAAACCAGCAACAACAAATTATAGTCTTACAAACCTAGTAGAAGGTAACTGTGAATGAGAATTCATCCAATGGCAGTGGGGTTTGGATTGCATCTTCCTCAAGTTCTATCTCTATCAATGTTTGCATCTCCTCTATGGTTTCAGCTCCTACAGGACAGATGTAACATGGTTTCAGAAATATTCAGGCTCTGGGTTCTGTCTAATTTCTTCCCTTCATCCTTTAGCTGTTAACTCACTCATTTATTATGGTGGAGTCAGACCTGCCAGCATTTTTCTGAGGCTGTAAATAGCATGGGAGGACACTACCCATCTCCTTTTCATGACACTGCTAGTGGATTTGACTCACCAGAGTGGCATAGCATTTGGATTTGTAGTCCCTGCAGACTACACCATGAACGCCCTATTTTCAGGAAGAAATGTTTACACTGCAGATCAGGTAAAATATGAGAATAAACATTTCCTAATTCTTTTATGGGAGTTCTGATGGCCTAGTGACACCACAATCCTGAAGGCAAAGGATTCAAGGCCATCAGCTTCTCCATGCCACCAGGTGCTCCACAGAAGGATGGGCAATCTCCTCCTGGGTGATTAACTGCCTCTGAAAATCCACTAGAGGGTCAGCTATGATTTGGTTCAGACTTCACGGTATACAACAACAGTCCTTTTATTTCCAAATCTTACACAGATTAGGCCCCAAGTGACTAGTAGATGACTTATTATTTGATTTGTGTTGATCTTGTGACTTTGCTTTATTTGGAATGGCTTGTTGTTAAAGTGAAGTAAATCCTGCCTTTTCTCCCGTCAATAGGTGCTCAACTCTTTTCAAGCATTGACAATGAACAAAAATCTTTCCCATGATATCAATGGTTCAAACATGGACCAAAATCATCCTTTGAATTCAACAGCAGAGGAGCAACCATCAGTTAAAAGGAAAACCAGATGCTGCAATGGATTCAAGGTGGAATGAATTTTATGTTTGCAAACACATAAGTTAATATTTTTAAAAGGCTACAAGTTGTTAAGTTCTTTATTTCTAAAATTAGAATTATCAACTAAGAAATTAAAAATAATTTATATCTTGATTTAAATTAGTCTGAAAGATTGCAAGATGTCTATAGTGATAGTTTAGATGTTTAAACCTTTAGTAATGGTAACATTTAAAAGTATTTTGATCTTTTTTTAGTTTGATAAATTAAAAGACATTTACATATGTGAGAAAAAAAATAAAATGCTGTTAGTAGTTAATCTGAAAAAATTCCTAAAATTGATATAAATGTGCAACATTAATTGTTCTTGTGGATCACTTTGTAGTCCTGATATAGTTAAATATGTATGTTGTTTTTATGTGCCATTGAGTCATCTGTGACACAAAGCAAGTTATAAATTAAATAATATAAATTATAAAGTCTAATTTAAAAAAGCCTTAAATACCAATTAAAATACCTGAGCCAAATTCTTGATCATGACATAGGAAAGTCACTTACTTTTTCTGTATGCCTTGCTTTTGTCCTAAGTCTGTGGTACATTGAGAAATATAGACTTTTTTGGAATTTTTATAAGTTAGATCAAAGGATTCCTTAAGCACAAAATTATATGAAGATAGATAATAATTTTCTGTATCTTATAGAAAGAAATGAGTGTTGGAAAACACTATTTTTTTAGATTGAAAACTGTTGAATCCAATTAAAACATATTAATGCCCCATTAAAAGTTTCAAAGAAATAAAAAAACAACCAAGTGACCTTTTACCAGTATTTTACACTTATTTACTCACTTAGTTTTATAGTGTTGCTCACCCGAATAAAGATTACAGAGGTCAGACTCAGTTGTGATAATGTCATATAAGGTCATTTTTAACTTGGTTTCTGGGAACACAGTCTGTTTTTCTAGATTATTGGGAAAGCTGTTTTGGTGATATGTTTGTGTAATACTTAGGAAAAGTGGTAATAACTGGAAAGGTGTCTTCAGAAGTAATGTGAGTTGGATTGGTTTTGCTTTTAAATACAAATTCTTGCAGAAATTTGGTTTGCATGTGTGTAGGAAAATGACAATGAAGTGACTGAACAAAATGGTACCTTACATCACAGTTAGAGAAGAGAGTTGACTTTAACAAGATAGTATTCTGTGGAAAACACATGTACTCATAACCTACCACAACCCAATTACAACGAGAGAAATAATAATACTAATAGTAATAATAATTACAACTAATATGTCTTGTTAACAATCCCAGTCTCTTCATCGTCTATCATGATATTACTAATTGTACCAGTGGTGAGAATCTTTGTTTTCTTGATGTTGAGCTTCACTCCATATTGAAAGCTGCAGTCCTTGACCTTCTGCAGCAAGCACTTCAGGTCTTCCTCAGTTTCAGCGAGAAAGGTGTGTCATCTGCATAATTGGCTCCACACTCAACATTCTTGTCACCAGCAGCCTGGAAATTAAAAGAGTAATTGTAATGAGAAAGTCTGCTGTCAGAGACCTCTCCAAAGTACTGAAGAGCAACAATGTCATCTGGAGCCTAAGGTGTCCCTGATTCAGGTCATGGTCTTTGCAATTACTTGCTCTGCACTGGAAAGCTGGACAATGACTAGGGATGATAGGAGAATTGATGCCTTTGAGCTGTGGTGCTGGAGAAGAGTACTGAATATACCATGGACTGCTGGGAGCACAAAGAGGTTCATCCTGAAGAGGATGAAACCAGGCTACTCCTTGGAGGCAAGGATTCTGAAGCTTGTCTGACATACTTTGGAAGTGTTGCAAGGAGGGACCAGTCCTTGGAGAGGGACATTGTGCTTGGGAAGGTGGAGGGAGAGAACAAGGGAGGAAAACCCTTGATGAGATGGATTCAATCAGTGACTGGGGTAATGGAGGTAGGTGTGTTAGAGACAATAAGATTGACACAGGATAGAGTGGGGTATAGAGCTGTTATACATAAAGTCGCTTTGAGTTGCAAGTGACTTGATGGCACATAACAACAATATTTATTGTAGTTATGTTGTTGTTATTAGGTGCTGTCGAGTATGACTCATTGTGACCCTATGAAAACAGATCTGAACCCTGTCTTAGAATGTGCCATTTCTCATACTTCCCGACACATTAGAGCCCATTTTGGCTTTCACTGTGTTAATCCACTTGGTTCTTCTCCTTTGCCAACCCTCGGCCTTTTCAAGCATCACATCCCTCTCCAATATTTATTGAGCACTCACTGTATACCTATATAGTCTACAGTTAGGGGCCTCTCCAGATTACTGAGGAGCAATGATGACAATTTGAAGCTCAAGATACATCCTACTCAGGTCATAATCTTTACAGTCACTTATTATTGCTACTGAGAGCTGGCCAGTGAATAAGGATGACAGTAGAATGAAGGCCTTTGAAATGTGGTGTTGAAGACGAGCACTGAATATCTCATGGACAGCTAAAAGAATAAACAGTTAAGTTTTGGAAAAGATGCAAATAATGCACCTTGGAGACAAAGATGGTAAAAATTAGTTTCATAAATGTCAAACATGTTGTTAGGAATGACTTGTTTGGAAAGGAACATCATGCTTGGAAAAATGGAGGGTCAGCAAAAAAGAAGGTTCTTAACTATGTGAATTGACACAGTGACTGTAAGCACGTCAGAAATTGTGAGGCTGGCACAGGATAGGACAAGATTCAGATGTGCTGTTCATAGATCTGCTATGAGTTGTACTCAATTCAATGGCATCTACCACCTATATACCAGATCTGTGCTCTCGCCCTCGCGCCTCACACTCTGCTAAGCCCTAATCTACCTTCTCTGTCTCTGTGAGTTAACTTTTTTCCAGATATCCCACATAAGTGGAATCATACATTTGTCTCTTTATAACTGGCTTAATTTTATTTAGCCCATAATTTTCAAGATTTTTTGACATTGTGATATGTTCCAGAACTTCATTCCTTCTATAGTTGAATATTTCATTGTGTGTGTATATAACAGATAGTGTTGTTAAACAGACACTCAGATTCTGTTTTTTTATTGTTTAGAATAGTTATACTATGGAAATTGGTTGGCAAACATCATTTGATTAATAGTTATCAAGTCTTTTATTTGTACTTAAAAATAGGAATGAGGAGTTTAATGGTTGGTGTTTTTTTAATTTTCATTTTATTATTTGTGGGTACCATCAAATCAGATCTGACTGGTACAGGAGGAGATTGTCCCTCCTTCCCCGGCAGAGCATCTGGTGGATTCGAACTGTGAGCCTCTGGGATTGCAGTGCAGCTTCTTGCCACTAGGCCACCAGAGCTCCCCGGAATTTAATGTTTTAAAGGAAATACAAAACTGGTTTAAACAGTGATGATACCATAGTTCTGTGGGTTTTTTTGTTTTGTTTTGGTTTGGTTTTATTCCTTAAGCAATGAATGAGATTTGCAATCTCTCTACATCTCTGCCCACAATTATTTTCTTATTTTTGAATCAGCAGTCCTGTTGTTGTTATGTACTGTGGAGTTGAAACTGACTCATAAGTAACCCTCCAGCAAGGTTTTTATAGGCTATAATTTGCACCAGAAAAAGTTGTCTAAGTTTCTGCTACAGAGCAACTTGTGGATTTGATCCACCTGCCTTTGGGTTGACAGCACAATTACTTGCCCCCTACTAAGCTACCAGAGCTTCCTTCAGTCATCGTAGTGGATGTCACATACTCTCTCATCTCAGTTTTGATAAACATTTCCTCAGTTGACTAATATCCTTTCATTTATTTATAGGCCATTTGCATATATTTTTGAGAATTGTCTATTCCAATTTTCTGCCTGTTTTAATTATATGTAATTTATTTTCAATTTATTTATACTTAACATAATGATATTTAAATTAAATATAATTTTTGAAATTAAGTTGCAATATTTTTTGTTTCTAAAAATATTTTTATTATATATTGGTTTGCATACAAAATTTGTATACTTTGTGTTTCATTCATATACATTATGTTTCACACATTCCTTCATTCACTTTGAGTTTCATAAGGTCTTTCCCAGACATTGTGTGTCTTATGTCTCCACTGGATCTTCCCTAATTCTTTTACCTCCTCCCTCTGCTTACAAACTCAGCAACTCCGTGATCTCCCTCTCTTCAGTTCCCCTGTCCCTTCCCTGTCTCCCTTTAGACTTTTATCCACATTTTACTACTTATCCTTCTATTTCTACAAGGTTTGTTTGTCCTTATCAGACTGAGTTAGTGTAAACAGCATAATGCTCTCTAGTGTCTCTCATGTTATGTGTATACAGTATTTTTCTAAATTCTTTCTCCTGAGTGCTTGCATGGTATTCCATTGTGTGACTATACCAGAGCTTCCCTAGTCATTTATTTGTTGATGGGCAGTTAGGTTGTTTCCAACTCTTTGCTATTGTGAACAGAGCAGCTATAAACATGGGTATGCATATATTTGCTTGGGTGGCAGTTCTGGTTTTTTTTAGAGGATATATTCCCAGTGGAATTGCTGAGTCAAATGATATTTATATTTCCAACTTTTTGAGAAAGTACCATACTGACTTCCATAGTGGTGGCACCATTTTACTCTCCCACCAACAGTGAATAAGGGTTCCAGTTTCTCCGCATCCTCTACAGCATTTGTTGTTTGCTCTTAAATTTTACTATTATTATTGTAGAAATAGAAGGATAAGTAGTAAAATGTGGATAAAAGTCTAAAGTCTCATAATTGTTTTGATTTGCATCTCTCTTAGAGCTAGAGATTTTGAACATTTCTTCATGTACTTGTACACCATCTGAATGTTTCTTTGGTGAAGTGTCTGTTCGTATCCTGTGCCCATTTTTCAACCTTTATCTTGTTGTGGTGCTTGAGTATATTGTAAAATCAAGATGTAAGTCCCTTATCAGACATGTCATTGCCAAATATTTTTTCCCAGTCTGTGGCTTCACTTTTACCCTGTTGAAGTTTTTGGTTGCGCATAGTTTTTTGATTCTTAGAAGGT